TACCCCAGAGTCTATTCACTGTGACTCTCAGCCTAAACTCCAATGATACCTAGCTCTGTCACTTCTACCCCAGAGTCTATTGACTGTGACTGTCAGCCTAAACGTCCATGCCACCTAGCCCTGTCACTGCTACCCTAGAGTCTATTGAATGTGACTCTCAGCCTAAACTCCCATGACACCTCTGTCACTCCTACCCCAGAGTCTATTCACTGTGACTCTCAGCCTAAACTCCAATGATACCTAGCTCTGTCACTTCTACCCCAGAGTCTATTGACTGTGACTGTCAGCCTAAACGTCCATGCCACCTAGCCCTGTCACTGCTACCCTAGAGTCTATTGACTGTGACTCTCAGCCTAAACTCCCATGACACCTCTGTCACTCCTACCCCAGAGTCTATTCACTGTGACTCTCAGCCTAAACTCCAATGATACCTAGCTCTGTCACTTCTACCCCAGAGTCTATTGACTGTGACTGTCAGCCTAAACGTCCATGCCACCTAGCCCTGTCACTGCTACCCTAGAGTCTATTGAATGTGACTCTCAGTCTAAACTCTCATGACACCTAGCTCTGTCACTTCTACCCTAGAGTCTATTGAATGTGACTCTCAGTCTAAACTCTCATGACACCTAGCTCTGTCACTCCTACCCTAGAGTCTATTGACTGTGACTCTCAGTCTAAACTCTCATGACACCTGTCACTCCTACCCTAGAGTCTATTGACTGTGACTCTCAGCCTAAACTTCCATGACACCTCTGTCACTCCTACCCCAGAGTCTATTCACTGTGACTCTCAGTCTAAACTCCCATGATACCTAGCTCTGTCACTTCTACCCCAGAGTCTATTGACTATGACTATATATATTAAGTTTTGCGTCGCATGCACACGATTAAAATATCATATAAAATGGGCCTAATATACTAATGTTGTATTTATTTAATTTAATTTATGGAATGGCCACGATGTATCACGGATCAAAATTCTCTCTTGAAGCGATAAAGTAATAGCGACATTTCAGTCATGTTCTGACTTGTGCAGTATTAAAACAAATAAAAAAATACGACAAATTTGTTCAATTTGCTAATATTGTGATTAATTGAGTTTGCTTGTAATTGTGATTACGTGGGTAAAATTCTCTCTTGAAGCGATAAAGTAACAGCGACATTTCAGTCATGTTCTGACTTGTGCAATATCAAAACAAATAAACAAATACGACAAATTTGTTCAATTTGCTAATATTGTGATTAATTGAGTTTGCTTGTAATTGTGATTACGTGGGTAAAATTCTCTCTTGAAGCGATAAAGTAACAGCGACATTTCAGTCATGTTCTGACTTGTGCAGTACTAAAACAAATAAACAAATACGACAAATTTGTTCAATTTGCTAATATTATGATTAATTGTGTTTGCTTGTAATTGTGATTACGTGGGTAAAATTGATCCGTGGTACATCGTGGCCATTTCACAATGTAATCTCATCCTTACAATTAATTAAATAAAAATTTAGTATATTAGTCTTATTTTTGACTCGCTGTTAACATAACTCTGTACTATGGTATTTGTGATATGTGAATTGGGTGCCATAGGATGGTACTTGATGGCCAACCAACTTGATCAAATATGTATTTTGCATTGTACGAGTGCGAAATAAGTTATTAGGAAATTAGAAAATTAGGATATTAGTAC